CGTGATTAGTAAGTCTGGAGTCCATCTCATTCCGCAGAAAACAGCCCTTATTGCCCATTTCCAGCCACCTACTGCTAAAAAGCCATACGCCGATTTCTCCGATTGTACTCTATAACAAATGTTTCGTCAAAGAATTTTCACAGATCACTGAGCCGCTAACTCACCTCATGAAAATCAACGTCAAAATCAAGTAGGAAGCGACTCAGGAGGAAACGTTTCAGGGGCGTAAACGATGCGTGCTGACACCGCCGATATTTCCGCACTTCAACGAATATGCCGAAACAGAAGTACACACAGACGCGAGCAGCGTAGAAAGCGGTGCCATTCTGGTGCAATGAACTAACGGCCTCGAAAGTGTTATCAGCTATGCTACCCTGTGGCTATCCAAGGCTGAGGCCAACTGCTCTACAACAAAACAGAAGTACCTCGTCATCATCATGCAAGCGTGAAAGCTTTGCCCGACCTGTACAGCAGACCTTTAAAGATGTGAGCAATTACCGTGCATTTTGCTGGTTAGCTAACCTGAAGGGTCCTTCGGGTTGCCTCGTATGGTCGAGCCTAAGGCTTGAAGAATTCAACATTACCGTAGTGTACAAGTTCAGAAAGAAACACTCAAACGCCACCTGCCTGTCCGCACCGCCGTCGCCGAGCGACATCGCGCTGATCTGGAACTCAGGGGCCAATAAATACCCCGAGGGCCGCACTACCATCGTTCCAAAAGTATCCAGGCGAAAACTGTGGTCCTTTTATTTTCTTGAAAAACACTGCCTTGTAAAGAAGACATTCTCTCCGGGCCGAGCCAGCAACCTAACCATTGTACCTTCGCTGATGCGGCCAAATATTAGGCAAGCCCTGCACGATGACCAAACAGCTCGCCATCTTGGTTTCCCCACACGCTCGCGAAGATACAAAAATAAGCACTGCGGGCCACGCCTTTAGGCTGAAGTTGATCGTTTCGTTAGGATACGCTGCGACTACCAACAACAAAAAACACCGCCGACTAGGCCAGCCGGACTTCTCCAGCCCACTGAGCCACCTCACTGTCCATTCCAAGAAATCGACGTAGATTTAGCGGGGCTGTTTATGACATCAAGCTGCGAGAAAAAATGGATTGTCGTAGCTACTAACTCACGCACTTCACTGAGACAAGGGCCGTGCCCAAAGGCAGTGCCACCGAGGTAGCAAACTCTTCGTCGAGAACATTGTCCGGCCTCATAGAGCTCCAGAGATCCTCTTTACTGACTGAGGTACGGCCTTTACACAGGACCCAACTCAGGTTACCTTGAGGTACAACCAGATAAGTCACCGCCGCACCACCACTTAGTATCCATATACCAATAGCCTCACCGAGCGCCTTAATAAGATCATCTGGGATATTCTGGCCATCTACAGCCACAGCCACGTCTGTGCAGAACACGTGAACAGTCAGTTTTTGCTCTGCGGGGTGAAACCTTGGGGCAGTGTCAGGCTCTGACGAAGACACCTCTACAACCAAGCCATGTATGCTGTTGTTACACCACTTCAGAGCTCGAAGCTTCCTGAAGGTGTCACCTCGAAGAGCCAAAACCCGCTGTTCGCGTGCTCTACACAGACGTGGCCACTTCTGTACGTCGACGTCGAACACAAGACGTAGAAAGCGATTCTTCCGTGCGTAACCTTCGCGTACAACACTGCCATGCAACAAACGAGACAACTGACGCCGTACAAATTGATTTATGGAAGGAGCCCGGCCGCGATGCTCGACGTAGTGCTGCCGAACGTCAGCGAGAATGAAAACATCGACCTTACTGCCCGTCTTCAGTGGGCCGAAGAAAGTTTGAAATTTGAAATCTTTTTGACGAAACTTGACTTGATTACAAGGTGAACAATAAGAGCAAATTAAGAGGTCCCGGAGTGAAAACTGTCGGGTGGACGTCATCGCAAAACATAAATGGGGTTTACAGGAAAGTAGGCGAACACAAAGCCATTGTATAATTTATATAGGTTTAGTAAGAAAGCGTAAAATATTCATAAAAAATAAAAAGCCAGCCAAGACAATCACAAAAGTAAATGATAAAATAATTTATCAAAGTCAGATAGAATAAATAACGAAAACAATTCAAACAAGGAATAGTGGCACAAACAACTACACAGGCGAATAAGTATCAAATTGCGGGCAAAAATGAAACACTTGGAAGTGGCAACAGCACGTTTCGAAATAGTAGGGTAAACAAAAACTAGCGATTTCTATGTGTCTAGCATAGTTGCTATATTTTTGTTACATTTCTTGTATCACTCAATTTGTGTTCTTGTAAATTTGTTTATTGCAATAATGTTTCTTGATGTTTTCATACATTGTTTATTATAATGTTTCCCAACTGCCTGGTCTTCAGTGACCGCAGTATTTTCTAAAGAAAAAAATCGATAAGGTGTTATTAAAATGATCCTTAGTTTTACGTTTGAGTGAGAATAATGAAGATGACTTCTTTATTCTCACTCCGATGGCAATGGACTCCAAATCGAAATGCCTAAAAAAGCAACACAACACAAAAAGTCCATATTTCGTTCTAATGTTTTAGGAGTAGATTAGGTCGGTTTGAAAATCTTGTTATATTGTTATTTATGAAGCTGGAGTGAGTGAAACTTGGAATAATGAGATTGGTATTGATAAGACAAAACATTAGTAGTGACAGCTTATGATGAAATAAGATGCGCAATGGTAGAACATTTACACAACGGATTATGGGAGCAGAGGGAGATGTATGACATTGAAATGCAACCAATCGTAATGCCTACTTTTGCGAAAATTCTAGGTGACGAAGATGTGTGCAATATGCATTACCCCAGAATGAAAGGCAGTATGAGAGGTGACGGTGTGTGTACGCATAGTATAAAGACACGAGAATGTCCAGGTCCAAAACAAAAAAAAAACTAGCGAGTTTTTACAACGATGTGAATGCCTAATGAGATTTTTTAATAAGTGATTTTGTGATAGTCGAACTTCAGATTGTGAACTAGAACAACAGCGAGAAATTTTGCATCATGGATCTTTAAAATACATCAATATTTAAAGAAACTGCAATAGGATGAAGAAGCCAATTTTTTTACGAAAAGCAATTATAATGTCCTAGTAGGGTTAATTATCAGCTTGTTTTTTACACATTATGAATGAGCACTTGCTAGGTCAGCTTTCAGTTTATTCTGCAATGAGCCAGGATTTTTATCATAAAGATGGTGGTTTCATTCGCATAAAGTAGACAATGTGCATGTGTTTATATTAGTGGCAAAGCATTGATGAATATTGGCAATAAAAGTGGTTCAAGTATTCATCCTTGTGGAACACCTACATTTATAGCTTTTGATGAGGAGAGGACATCATCAATTTGGACTCTGTAAGATCTGTCTTTTGAATAACCACGCAATAATTCTAAAGGTGATCCAGAAATGCCATAAACTTCAAGTTTGTTTAAAAGAATATGATGATCGATGGAATCAAATGCTTTGGTGAAGTCAACGAAGAGAGATCCGACAGAAAGACCATGGAAGACGGCTAGTTTAACCCCTTCAACAAAACTAATAAGAGCTAATTAAGTACACATATTCTCTTGAAAACCGAATTGGTCCTGAGTTAAAACATTCAACTTGGAGAAGTATTTACTTAGGCGATTGTTTATTACTTTTTCTATCATGCTGTGGAGGGAAGGCCAAATGCAGGTAGCACGATAATTACTCGTGCACTTGTTTGTCACCTTTTATAAATACTGAAGGACATGACCTGGACCGGTATATTTATGAGAGTTGATGATAATGCATACTTCTTCCGGTGTCGTTGCAAATAAGTAGTAAGAATGAGGACAGTGCGGAAAAGTGAGTTGCATCGAATGAGGCTGATCACTGTCTGTAAAGCTGAAATGATCACTGAAAGCATCAGCAATATCTTCAGGGTCGGTAATGAGAGCAGAAAACTCGACAACTCGCCCGCCTTCGCATCAAGGACCAGCAGTCGACCGAGAGCCCCCGTTACAACCTTCGACGAGGGAGCAAGAAAAATTAAGCGGAAGGACAGAGAGAGGTGAGCCAGTGCAGGTTCAATGACCTTCGACAAAGTTTTGTGAATCGGCAGCCCAGCCCGCTGGCCGTGTTTCGGTGTGGACACCAATAGGCTGAAGTGCCCTAAGTGAAAAATTTCTGCGACGGCACTTTAAACCGTACAAGCTAACCCGACATCTCGGTACGCGCCACTACAAGGTTCTCTGCAACGGCATCACGAACAATCAATGGTGGCGTGCGTCACCTGAAGAAGTTACATTCACTCCTGTTTTATTCGGCGTTCACCCACAAAGCCTGTCAGAAATGCTCAGCGTGATCCGGGCCTCACTGTTTGCGAAGATTCGTGACTACTGTAGGTCGTTCTGTTAAAAATGCGTGAGACGCGAACACTCGAGAGTATTCCAGAGCTTGCGCAACAACAACTGATAACGTTGAAATATACAACTGATAACGTTGGAATATACGACGGGACATGTATAAAGGCCAACGTGCTTCGCCGCTTGTTAGTTGATTCACGGCCGACGTTCTGATCACCGTAATCAGTGGCACTGTGCATCGCTGTAATCTGACGTTTAGTTTACCGGCCACAAGTTTGGCCAAATAAACAGTTTCATGTTCGACCTATAGCCTGCGCCCTTCGTTCAGGTCATGGCTCCATGACAGTATGTTATTTTTTAAAAAGTTTTTCTGGCGGACGCAATTGACTTCATGACCTACTGTGAGAGTTAAAATGACAACTGGTGGAGATATCAGTTTGTGTCCTTTGTAAGGGGAAGCTAATCGAAAAGTCATTTATTCATGATATTTACAGGGGAATTGACAAGTGAGATCAAGGGTATAAAAAAATTTGTTAGAACTTCACCTATTCTTGTGAGTGAGAGGTGAAACTGACGTCGGAACCGCACAGCAAACTCATGTTAGAAAAAAAGATCAAGCTTGGAGCCTTCTATAAAATGCCCAACAATGGCCTTTATGCAATTTGGACGTTCCTTCAATTGAAGCATTGGCTTTGAGAACATCATGGGGCCTTTCTGGTACTTCATTCTCCTCATTGGAGCAGGTAGGTTTTGTGCTCTTTTTTGGAATTTCCTTATTTGACAGCATAATTAGGAGGCAAAATATAGATCAGAAAAGGTTGAAGTTTTTATACGACACTTCAATATAACGTAACATAGACGCGCTTTTAAAATGCTGGACATGTAATATAGCACGAGACATTTACACACTTCTTTTGAACATGAGTTAAATAATTGGGAAGACTATTTCTGGTGCATTTATTTTTTCCCATTGTGTGCTACTAACGCTGAATTTTCTACTGGCCATTTTAATTATGTTTGGTGGTCAGCTGCCCTAGGTATGCATTTAGTAGCGGGTAAGATGACATGCAGCTCATGTAGAAAGAATTACTGACACGTTTCGAAGTGTATTGTGATATACTTCGTTAGGTTTTATTGTCGAAGTGCTGACCCAATTATTATTTTCATGTCTCCACCATCATGGTTTATTTCTGCGCTCGCTACAATAAGCGTGACACTATTCATAAATTAAATATTCGATTGCATTTACCACCACGATTAGGCACCGGCTAATGCGTTAAATTGCTGTCCTAACTTGCGCAAGACGCCAAAATTTTCCAAAATAATTTAGATAATGAGTGAAGTGCTTGCATCTTTAACTTCTCAACAGCCAAATACTTCTCAGTCAAGAAGCCGTACTGCATTTCATGATGCATTGAGTATTATGGTTTCAAACCAGTTTTTCAAGAAATAAACTAAACACGTAGTCACAGCTTAAAGAAAAAAAACCATGAAATAGCAGGGAAGTCGATTATGCTAGTGTGCGTTCTCTACAAGCTGGCGTAAAAAAGAACATTCCCTATTTCCAAAAGTTAGGACTAACTTCTTCGTCCCAAGATCAGTAACAGGAAACGTTGTCTGCATTTGTATTACAATGCCAAAATATTTTATTAAGTCTTGTCACACAATCAAAGCAAGGACATTTTTTAAAAGAAATTGTAGGTTGAGAATCTCTTCTCAAAAGCAGGGGGCTTTATTTTATGTGTATGCTTGATCAAACTTAAGCAGTCTTCGAAAGGTCGATCAAACTTAAGCAGTCGTCGAACTTTTCTTGGGGTGTAGCGGTGCCCGTAAAAAAAGCATAACTAGACTGAAGTTGAAGTATTGGCTTACACTACGTGCTTTAAAATCTTCTGGTCATATTCTAGAACTGTTGGAACGTCAAATTTGTATCTTGCCGTGAATAATACTTTAATTATATTGCTGCTGAAGTAATTTAACTAAAAATTGTTGCAGTATTCAATAAACATCGCCTATTCTGGAGCAGCATATCTTGTTACAGATAAGTCTTCATTGTTACTGCGTACGTGGATGAAAACATGCAATCTTTTCAGTGCCGTGCATTATTTGCTTTTTCTCTCCTGTAACTATAACAGAGCTAAATTTTTCATTTTAACAAGTTTACTTCGTTTTTTTTTCTGTAGTGGCCTTGGGGGACGAAGGAATCCGTAGTAAGTGTTGTTCTTTTTCTAAAGCTAAGTAACAACAAATTTACCCTGGAGTAGCGACTCTAAGTTATGCATGAAGTTACCATGCGTTGAGACATATTTTGTGACTGCCTATTTGTTTATATCAACGAATGAATGAATGAATGAAACCATGTTTATTCCACTTTGTTCGCGCCGAAGGCGCTGCGGTGGACAGTCAGGGCACTATAGCAGGGGGGGGGGGGGGTAGAGCTGCCTCCGTTTTATTACCGGACGTCATGGAGGCAGCTAAGTGGGGGCCGCTTGAATGGCTTGAATCTTGTGGCTGTCGCGGAGCCGGTCGCCAACCGGTGGCGCGGCCGGGTCCTGGAGGAACATGATGAGTGCTCGCCAGAACTCGATGGCGCGATCAGGGGGCGAAGGCTCCGGGCAGGCCCATGTCCGGAGAGAAGAAGGCCAGGGTCCCCGTTTTATGGTGGCCAGGGCACGGAGCCTAGGCGGGTTGTACACAGGGCACTCCCAGCACAAATGGTTGAGATCAGCCCGGCAGTTGCACGTGGAGCAGAGACCTGTCACGGGTGGTGGCGTGTCACCCCTGTGGAAACGGTTCAGCAAGAAAGGGGTAAGGAGTGTTCCTGCCTGAATTCTCCGAAGCAGGACAGACTCTCTCCGTGTGAATACCTTCGAAGGAAGCAATGGTATCGAGAGTGGATTACCCACTGCTGTGAGGTAGGCGGCGCGACGTTGTTTGGTAATGTGCTTATCTGCTATCGGATCTGCTAGCTCGGGTGGGGTAGCCAGAAAAGTGGAAGGAGTATCGGAAGCTCTGGCTAGCGCGGTGAGGAGATGAGCGCGCGCTAATCTGTGAGCCTTCTCGTTTCCGGGGATACCGCAATGCCCGGGGACCCAGTGGATGGTAACGTCATGACCACATTCGCGGAGCAGGCGCGTCTGGTGTCGGATCTTCTGGAGTACAGGATCTGTGTAAAGAACATTAGCGCATGCCCGATGGGCAGCCTGGGAATCAGTGTACACACGATGGTGAACAGGGTCAGTTTGAGGTGACATTTCGAGGGCCCACTCCAAATAATCTAAGATGCCCACTAGCTCTGCTCGAGTGCTATACATCGCATCTGCTGAAGCATGATAACGTCGGCTCTGATTTCTGTTTGTCTGGTCGTACCACGCAGTGGCATAACAAGTGTTACTGGTACCGTCTGCAGGAAGTGCAGCGTCAGTGTATACGACGCGTTCAGTCATGGGGAGTGAACTCGTGGCCCTAGCATGTCTCTTGGCGTAGTTAAGGCGCCGTGCTCGCTGATTAGGGTCCATATTCAACGGAAGTGGCTTGCCGTCGGTGAGTACCGTGATTTCCCAAGGCGGCGTTTTGTTAGGCAGCATGGGCAGTGTGTTGATGTCATACCCGAGAAGCATAAGCGTGTATCGCCCGGCATTTGTTGCGCGAAGCCTCGTTTCCTGTGTGTGGATGTGCATGTCGATGAGCTCGGTCAGATTATTGAGCTTGCTGCAGCTCTTGAGCGCATCCAGGCGTGTGTACCTTGGTAGTCCGGTAACCATGCGTTTGGCCTCGTTAAGCAGCCGGTCGAGTTTGATTATCTGCGTACGGTTGACCGGATGATACGGCAGTCCATACATGATACGTGAGACGAGAAAAGCTTGAACAAACTGCCGCATTTCGCGTTCGTTTACTCCACGAGTGCGATTAGAGATTCTGCGTAAAGCATGAAGGATTTGTTTGCTAGTCTTCGTAACGCGTTGGAACCAAGTGCTCGCTGTGCAATTCTCGTCTAAGTGCATTCCTAATATTCGGATAGTGGATTTCCTCATTATAGGTTGATTGCCAATGTGAAGTTTAAAACACTTCTTTTCTTCCTGCTTGGCAAACGTGGTTCGGCCACCATGAATGACGACAAACTCTGTTTTGTCTGGAGCGGTGTGTAAACCTGCTTCCATTGCGTAGTCGTGAATAATGTTGAGGGCTCGTTGTAAGACATCCTCCTGCTCACCGACGGATCCTTGATGCGTCCACATGGTTACATCATCTGCATACACCGCGTGTTTCAGGCCCGGTACGTTCGCAAGGCGTCTTGGTAGCTGGTACATGGCTATGTTAAAGAGGGTGGGTGAAATCACCGAGCCCTGGGGAACACCTACGTGGTTGGTTCGTACGGTACTGGCGTCTTGGCCGATTTCGACTTGGTAGCTTCGCCCTTCGAGGAAGCCCGCTATGAAGTTATACATTTTCCCTTTAATCCCAAGGGCACGTGCTTTCGTCATGATGGTACTGTGTGGTACGCCATCGAATGCTTTGCGTATGTCCACTGCTACAACAGCCCGTGGGTGCACCGAGTTAGAGTCGAGGACGTCTTCTTTTAGGCGAAGGAGTACATCTTGAGTTGATAGGCCCGCGCGGAATCCGTACATTGTAGGGTTCACCTACAATGTAGGTGAACCATGGAGAGCATGGTTAACACACGCTTGATGTGGTACCTTTATATCAACGTAATGTTATTTGCAGTGCGTGCTGGTTGAGTTGTGGAGGAAAGGCAGCCATGTTTTCATTTCATCAACTTGACGTGCGAGAACTCACGCTGCGCAAAGAGACACAGTCGTCGAAACCGTTCGTTTCTGAGTAAAGGGCCTCGCTAAAACATATTGGATTTACTAGGCTGCACTATACGCATAGCTAAAAAAAATACATGCTCTCGGCGCTATATACCAACAGTATCGATGGAGTCCTTGATGTAGGCGCTGATGAGTTCCGGATTATTTTTGGACGAAGCCGTAATTAGCGAGATGCAAAAAAGCTTATTAGATGCACTAATGACGTGTTATAGACCGCCGCGGTATAGCGGAAAACAAAAGTAATGCAGTTCTGTGACGTGACCTTTTCAGAAACACCATTAGGATCAGTTTGTACAACTTTTGCTTTCAACATCAGTGGAAAAAAGAGATGAAGGAAGTGAAAACAGGGAGGACAACCAGGCGGGCGTCCTGTTTTCTACCTTGCATTTTGGGGAAAGGGGTTCCGAGAATAACGAAAACAAAGAGGGAAGAAGCAAGAAAACACAGTCGGGTGCATGTGATAGACCGTTTACCAAAGGGGACATACTTCGATATTGTCGCTATACTTCACAGACCAGAAGGGCTACGCAAAAATACCCATATTTTTTTCTTTTCCAGCAGCGGGAGGGCCAATATAAGGTTCATGTAGATTGGCGACTTGCGAGTTTATGATCACGCACATGGTGGCTAGCATCATATAAAAAAATCACAGCATATACATGGAGTGAATGATGATGAGTGGGGCGAAGCGTCCGTCAACCCGTTCCGTTTGTCCGTTCGTTCTTGCTTCCATCCGTCGGTGTGACCATACGTGCGACAATACAAGTGTCCGCTCATCGGTCCATCTCTTCGTGCATCCATCCGAACGTCCGTCTGTCCATCCATCCGTGCATCTTTCTAGAAAACACTCAAAATACCTCCATCTCCCATCTAGCAACCCCTCTGGCACATACCCGTTGGGTATGTGCCACTGGTGGTTACATACATACATACATACATACATACATACATACATACATACGTACATACATACATACATACATACATACATACATACATACATACATACATACATACACACACATACATACATACATATATACATACATACATACATACATACATACATACATACATACATACATACATACATACATACATACATACATACATACATACATACATACATACATACATACATACATACATACATACATACATACGGAGGAGCGACAGACCCGTGTCATAAGCAGCTTCGTCCTTAAAACTCTGCTCCGCCGCTGGCCATTCCACGCTTACCTCTACTGCGGGTTACTGGAAAGCCAGCAACTTTAATAAATTCATTTATGTATCGCACTTAAGGTGATAGTTTGTTCGCAATGGGTGCTACTCATATTAAAACGTGATTGGGGGTGGGTGAATGCAGAGAGACAAAGTACGCGTACGATCATCATCATCATCATCAGCCTGTCTACGTATACTGCAGGACAAAGGATTCTCCTTTGTTGCGCCAGTCAAACCGGTCCTGTGCTTGCTGCTGCCATTTTATACCAACAAACTTCTTAATCTCATCTGTCCACCTAACTTTCTGTCTCCCCTAGTCCTTTTGACTTCTCTGGGAATCCAGTAAGTTACCCTAAGTGACCAGCGGTCAATCTGTCTGCGCGCTATATTCCAGGCCCATGTCCATTTCTTCTTCTTGATTTCAACTACAATATCCTAAACCCCGTGTTTGTTCCCTTATCCACTATGCTCTTTTCTTGTTTCTTAAGGTTACACCAAACATTTTCCTTTCCGTTGCTCGCTGCGTCGTTCCCAATTTAGGCTGAACCCTCTTTTTAAGTCTCCAGGTCTCGGCTCTATAGCTAAGTACGGGCCAAATGCAGATGTTATATGCCATCCTCTTGAAGGATATTAGCAATCTACCTGTCATGATTTGATAGCGCTTGCCAAATGTGCTCCACCTCATTCTTACTCTTCTAGTCATTTCAATCTCGTGGTTTAGCTCCACGGTTATAACCTGCCCTAAGTATATATAGTATTTTTTACAACTTCAAGTGCACTACTATCTCGAAGCGCTGTTCTCTTTCGAGGTTGCTGTACATTAGTTTCATTCTCTGCATATTAATTCTAAGACCTACCTTTCTTCTCTCCTTGTCTAACTCCGTAATCATGAGTTGCAATTTGTCCCCTGAGTTACTCAGCAATGCATCATCATCGGCGAAACGCAGGTTACTACTGTACTCTCCAATAACTCTTATCTCTAACTCTTCTCATTCTAGAGCTCTGAAAACCTTTAGGCACGCGGTAAATAGCATTGTATTTTCCTACCTTACACCCTTCTTGATTAGTATTCTGTTTCTTTCTTTATGAAGCCCTATGGTAGCAATTGATCACATGTAGATTTCTTACAGGATGTTTATATATGCTTCATCGACGCCCTGATTTCGCTGTGTCTGCATGACTGCTGGTATTTCTATTGTATCAAACGCCTTCTCGTAATCTGTGAAGGCTATGTATAGTGGTTGGCTGTAGTCTTAGCATTTCTCTATTACCTGACTGATAGTATGAATGTGGTCGATTGTTGAGTAGCCTATTCGAAATCCTGCTTGTTTCTTTGGTTGATTGAATTCTAATGTTGGCTTAATTCTGTTAGAAAAACTTTTGTAAATAGCTTGTATACGACAGAGAGCAAGCTGGTCGGCCTGTAATTCTTCAAGTCCTTGCCATCTCCTTTCTCACGTATTAAGATGATGTTAACATTCTTCCAAGACTCTGGTACTCTTCCCGTCAGGGTACACCTCGCAAACAGGGTGGGTATTTTTTCTAACACATTGTGTCATAATTAAAGCAACAGAATACCAATCAAGAAGGATGTAAGGCAGGGGAACACAATCTCCCCAATGCTATTTACCGCGTGCTTACAGGAAGTTTTTAGAAGCCTAGAATGGGAAAAGTTAGGGATAAGAGTTAATGGAGAATACCTTAGTAACCTGCACTTCGCTGATGACATTGCATTGCTGAGTAACTCAGGGGACGAATTGCAACTCAAGATTACGGAGTTAGACAAGGAGAGCCGAAAGGTGGGTCTTAAAATTAACCTGCAGAAAACGAAAGTATTGTACAACAACCTCGGAAAGGAGCAGCGCTTCGAGAAAGGTAGTAGTGCACTTGAAGTTGTAAAATACTATGTTTACTTAGGGCAGGTAATAACCGCAGAGACTAACCACGAGATTGAAGTATTTAGAAGAATAAAAACGGGGTGGAGCACATTCGGCAAGCACTCTCAAATTATGACAGGTAGATTGCCACTATCCCTCAAGAGGAAGGTATACAACAGCTGTATCTTGCCGGTACTTAGCTACGGAGCAGAAACCTGGAGACTTACAAAGAGGGTTCAGCCTAAATTGAGGACGACGCAGCGAGAAATGGAAAGAAAAATGGTAGGTGTAACCTTAAGAGACTAGAAGAGAGCGGAGTGGATTAGGGGACAAACGGGGTTAAGGATATCATAGTTGAAATAAAGAAGAGGAAATGGACATGGTCCGGGCATGTAGCGCGTAGACAGGATAACCGCTGGTCATTAAGGGTAACTAACTGGATTCCCAGAGAAGGAAAGCGGGTTAGGGGGAAACAGAAGGTTAGGTGGGCAGACGAGATTAAGAAGTTAGCGGGTATAAATTGGCAGCAGCAAGCACAGGACCGGATTAACTGGCGAAACATGGGAGAGGCCTTTGTCCTGCAGTGGACGTAGTCAGGCTGATGATGATGATGATGATGATGATGATGATTATAGTAAGGTCGTGGTTGTCCCGGCTACTCTACAGATCTCTGGAAAACGCCTCCTATATTTAACTATCTGATCCATATTGTTCGTTACCTTGCCTTCTTTGTCCCTTAGTGCATACATCTGATTTTTGCCTCACCCAAGTTTCCTCATCACTGCTTTGACGCTTTCTCCGTTCTTCAGAGCGTGTTCAATTCTCTACATGTTATGCCTTCTTACATCGGATATCTTACGCTTATAATCCACTTCGAAAGCTCTGCCAACTCTATTTTATCTGTTGTACTTGAGACTATCATGCTTTGACGCTTCCCAATGAGATTCTTTTTTTCCTGGGAAAGCTTGCAAGTGTCCTGTCTAACAACCATGCCTCCAACCTCCACTGCACACTCCGTAATGATACTCGTCAAATTATCTTCCATTGTATCTACACTAAGGTTGGTTTCCTCAATAAAGGCTGAGTACCCGTTCTGAAGCGAGACTCTGAATTTCTGCACTTTTCCTTTCAGTGCTATCTGAATGATTGGCTCCTTGCGTAACAGCTTCTGTTGTTGCTTCTTCAAGTTTACACGAATGCGAAACCGCACCATTCTGTGGTCACGGCATCGTACCCTGTCAACCACTTCCACATTATGCACGATGGCTGAATGTGCACTCAATGTAAAGTCTATGTTGTTCTTACTTTCGCAATTAGGGCTCCTCCATGTCCACTTACGGTTCTCTCGTTCTTAAGAAGGTATTCAAGAACCGTAATAATTGCGTTCTGCGAGTTCTAATATCCGCTCCCCTCTGGCATATCAAGTACCGATGCCGTAATCTGCTACTGCCTGGTCTCCAGCTGGCTTACTCCCTACATTGGCATTGAAGTCTACCATCAGTGTAGTATACTGTGTTTTTACTTTATATCCGATTCCATGTCTTCATAGAAGCTTTCAACTGACGCGTCATCATGGCTGGATGTAGGCGCGTAGGCTTGTATCACCTACATCGTGTGTCTCTTATTGAGTTTCATTTGGATAACTACCACCCTTTCATTAGGGCTATAGTATTTCTCTATGTTGCCAGCTATGCTTCTGTGGATAAGGAATCCCACTTCCAGTTCACATCTGTCAGCCAAGCCACGATAGCACAGAACGTGCCCATTCTGAAGCACTGTATAGTGCCTCATCTGTCCTCCTAACTTCACTGAGCCCTACACTCTGAAAAAAAGAGGGAGTAAAAAGGGTGTCTTTCTGTCCCACAACAATAATCGTCACCTATATTGCGTTACATCCTTGCGCTATCGCCCCACAACCTGTACATTGCGGTCACGATCGGCATGCCCATTATCAGGGTTACATTGCATTCTCAATAGGAAAGTGGCCAGCGCCGAGTTTTCAAGAAAGGAAGCGCACGCAAGCCTGATGACGAATATTGTTGTGGGACTAAAATACCCTTTTTACTCGACATTTTTTTACAGTGTATTATATCCCATTTAACACCCTTTACATTCTCTAGTACTACAGCTATAGGCTTTCCTTACTAAATAAGCTTATAGCGTTAAACGTTGCCAAGTTCAGGTTCCAATGGCGGCCTGTTCGGACATAGTGATCCTTAGCACCCTCTGCCTCGTTGCAAATCTGACCACCGCCATGGTGAGTTGCTTCGCAGCCACTGGGGATTGAGGGCATGAGTTAATTGACGTATGCATGTGGGAGGTAGCGGCCAGATACTGCATCAGGATGGCCAATTCTTCTCTGTTGAGGGAGTGCGTTACCGGTGGTGCACGGTCACCGGCGAGACCGCACCCCAGACGTCCTAATGCAGTTCCATCACCACGCGAACTTTTTTTTTAATCCGGTTGGGAGCTGCGCGGCACCAGGATTCAAACCACGCACCTCTTGCTTCCGCGGCTGATGCTCTAACCACTAAGACATCACGGCGTGACACGTAATATTAACTATAGTGATTTCGATTCTACCTATATGTGCATAACTGCACACTACATATATTGAAATGCCATATCGGTGGGCGACAGAGGAGAACGAGAATGAGGCAAAATTTGCTCCTGTTTCAACCCTACCTTGAAGTCTTGGTACTTGTTTTGAACTGAATGCAAGACTGCCCTTGAGCTTCGCACCCAGAAAGCCCGCTGCCTAATTTTGGGGTGACCGTGTCGAGAAATGTTCAGTCAACAGATATCCTGGAGTTGTTCCTTCGCAATGAGCCGATGGAAGAAATGTTGAGCTCTTTCAAACATACTGATATGCATTGCAGCACACAACAGATCTTGAGCATCGCAATCAACGTGAAATCTCTCATAATATTAAGTAGTTACTGACATAACACAATGACATATGAACCGCAATCTTTTTATCTCGTAAACAAACGTACAGCTGCTATTTTCAATGAAATCGTTTGCTTGAGCTTATTCCGAGTGGTCATAGTTAACTAATGTGCAGCACCCACATGAAAGCATCTCGGCCCTCTTTACTTCATGTGTTTCCGTAGTGAAAATGCGCTGACTTGCCAGGCCACACTTTATTCAACAGCCTTCCTTCGGTTCAGCAGTCCTGCACCATAACCTTTAGTCTAGTAGACTGCCGTGGTGGCTCGTTCTGGTCCTATTTTCGGGCACACATGGTACAACTCGGGGGCGTGGGGTGAATGATAACACTATATTGGTGTTTTATTTATCATATGACAATGTTTATGGGGTGCAGTGACAAATTACACGAAAAATTTTGGTTACTTTTCTCGCGAGAAAATGAAAAAAAAAACGTAGTAGGTCCTTCACTGAACGAATTTCTTTCGCTTGCAGAAGCTTCTCAGTACACGCGGCTACAATCAGAAGGTATGGTCGAATGTTATTACTTAGGAATTCGCCAAAAGAAATTTTCAAGACAGGCACAAAGAAGGCGTGCCATTTTTGTTATCGTAGCACAAGTATCGCTTTAAAAATCACGCAGAAAATGGAAACTGGGGTGCGCTGCAGAACTCAACATTTTAGGAAATATAAAATGTGAGTGTTCATTTTCCGAGAGCAATTCATCAGTTCTTGCTTTACCAATCATTACAAAATGCTTGAATGGTGATTCGCCTGAGTAGGGATGACAACTATTTTTGAATACTCATTCTCAGTGGAACAAAGCAGCAAAACTGTAAGCTCAAGTATTTTTATTGTTAACCTAACGCTCATTTATGAACATATATAGTGAATGTGCTATATGTTCAAAAGAATGATTACTAACCTACAAGTATCCTCTCTAAAGATGTTCCTGGCTGTGGGGATTCATCAACGAAAATTGAAGGTGAGCACTTGTCTCAATGAAAAAACTTTTATTCATGCATTTCTTTTTGATAATATGCCTTTTAGAAATTATATGTCTTTAGGTCATATTACCAAACCATTTTTTCTTTCGTAAGGTAAGAATTTTGCAGCTAATAGTAACGTAGCACATGCAAGAAAATCGAGCAATGGTTTTGCTGAAAAATTGGGTATAAAATCGTGACTGCTAGTAGACAACCGACCCTCCTCTCAGAAGGAAATAAACGAAAGTAGGAACAAAGATGCTTGTAGTTGTCAACTATGAACAAATCGCTATTCACAAAGAAGATTAATGAAATAATTGAAACTAGGCATAAAATACTATTGTTTGCTGATTTCAGGTATACTTAACAACCTTAGATAACGATACAGGGATGTCCATTTGGAACGCCTTTCCGATAGCGTATAGATACCATATCTACGTAGCAGGTTCTAAAACCACCTTTTGCTCAGTCGATAAACCGCACTCTGGTCTGTGTATCTGTTAACATGAAAAATCGCTCTTTTATGAACATGTTGATTGAACACGGCGTGTGAGGCAATACATATCATTATAAGACATTGCTAAAGTACAAAGAATGACTGCTTTATGAAAAAGACGCCGTTGTGTAAGACACGGGGATGTTTTTAGTTGATTTCTTGGACATCGTGGTGGTATTGAGTGCCTGAAAATGGCCGAAATTAGACAAACAAAAGATTATACAATCAAGTAAGATTTAGAAAAAACTTGTTCAGGATCCTATCAAGAATGGCATATTAAGTTGCTGTTTTCGACGGCAAGCTTTAACGATGCTCAGTGATGTGGAGCGAGATTTTCATGCAGTAAGCTCACAAGGCCAGCACTCTGTAAGCCAATATTTCATAGTTACCGAAAATTTTGTAAAAGTAAAGGTTATACATAAATTGACATATAATTTCACTCGCGCATCGTTCACCTATCTGAATTACAATGGGCAACATCGGAACAGACGAATTGAGGCCTTTTTTGGTGGTATCAGTATAAAAGATTGGGTACTATAGTGCGTATCAAGCAGGAGGCTAATCGTAAGTTTAAGCACTGTGCGTTTCCTTAAGTTCACTTTGCTTCGTAATACATTGTATGCTTCTTTTTGTTTTTTTATTCACGCACAGCAGAAAGCTCATCATCCGTGCCAAATACAACGACAGGTAAGAACATAAAGCGGGCTGGGAATTCCAAAAAAATAGTTTGAATTGTCTACCAGAATTTAAATGCTCCAACGCAATACATTTCGGAATATACCAAAATTATATTTCGCAGTCGGCTCACAACTCCAGAACAAACTTTTGCCCAAGAACACACGAAGCCATTTTCTTGCACTTTTTAATAAAAAGCTACATAAGAATTGTAGTTATTTACACGCTCTGTCTCCAGCACTTATCTACAAATGCAAACTCAATCTTTTGATGCCTAATAACAATGCAGCTTCACAATGAGATGTTTTTTAGTTTAATTTATTTGGTACATGAATGTACTTCTTTCGTAGTGAGTAAAATAAGTTAAGGAATTTAGAATGCAGTCAAGCACTTAGATGGCTGCATAGTAAATAACGCCATCTGAAGAGTTGACGTCTGGTATAATATCACTTATTATAAATCGCCTAGGTTATTATCGTATATTATATCGTGTTTATATGGTTTATCTATTAATAAATCGTTTTTAGTTGCATCATTTACTATATCGTATATTTATTATAACTCGCCTAGCTCGTATAGGGTTGGTCACTGTGCCGTTGTGTGCAAAACGCCCGTCTCAAATTCGAAGGGTCTAACTCATCCACGCGCCCGAGTCGACTGGAATGTGAAAGCAGCCTTCTTTATGTCTTGCTTTTCTGATGATGTGTTCATAACGTCACGTACCCCTTCGAAAGCTTTTAGCACCTCGCATGGTTTTAGCGTTGGCGTTGTGATCGGCCCCGTAGAGTTGCCTCTGTATTGCTACCTGGCGAATGTGCGAGATTAAAAATTGGCCCAAATCTACATGTTACACTGTAAATGTCGTCGAAAGACGATAGTATTGCGTCTGGAGAGAGTGAAAAAAAAACGTTTATTGGATGTTCTGTGCAATAAAATCGGTTAATGGTATTCTGAAGGCACTGCGTTAGAGTGCCTCGTGCGTGTAACGGAGGCGAACAAGCGAATTTAGGCACGTTAGGCACGAGCGCCATCTGGCAGTTCTCTTCGAAAACGAAGGCGTGCGCCACTGCGGAGAAAGATGTGCGCCGGTCACGGAGGTAATAAGGTGTAGAATGCGAAGCGACGGGCAGGTGCCACCACCATGCCATCGTAGCAAAGTGTTGGAAGCACCTTCTTGAGCATCACGTTGCACTGTCAGCGCAGCGCGTTAAACGCTACAGTCCTTAGAGTGTTTTGTGTGTGTCCACTTTCAGTATAAAGGCAGACATACAAAACATAGACATGTTGTTATGGCACCTCAGATATGTGCAATATTTGCTTTTTTAATCGACAATTGCACAACTATGAACGCTAAACCTTGAGCAATATTGGTGGGCCCTGACGATGGGGTTGGCCATTTGGTACCGTTTGAGGTATCGTTAGGGCAGACAAACAGACAATTGTACAAGCAGACAGACCAAAATTTTTCCGTCGAAGGTCCCCAAGAAAGACTATCGTCTTTAAAAAAGCCACCAGGCTTGAGCGGTAGGCGCAGCACAATCACATCGAAAGGTAGGAGAGCTGCCTTTCAGAACCTTTTCAAAACACTCGTTGGGTAACTAATGCAGTCACACTTGCTTGGTACCCACTAGAGCATTAATAATAAGCTTTTGGGAAGTAGGCCGGCATTCGCTATGCTCTTTTTCGTCATTCTTCTGAGAAGCGTGGTATCCACTAAACACTTGCAAGGAACTCTGTGCCAATCGTCCATGCAGTGGCTGACGACGATGAGGAATCAAAGCTGAAGTGGGTATGCGCCACAGTTATTAGGGGAACAAGAACAACCTTTTGTGATAGTTTGGTGCATTGGACGGCCCACTCTTTACGGTATTCGCATTGTGCGACGACTCGCTGTTCTTTCGCTGATGTAAAACGCTTAAGTAGGATTAACGTGATCGCTTTCCCGACAAAAAGCCTACCTAAGGCAAGTTTGACAGCAACTCACAAGCACCGGTGTAGCTTGTGGTAAAATACTGGGCTGGAACCCAGCCGACCCGGGTTCGAGCCCCACTTTGTCACTGGTGCTATGTCATGCCTGCCTAAGGTAGGACAAGTTACAAGCGCAGGCGTGACTCAGTGGTAGAATATAGGGCTGGTTCCCAGCAGACTCCGGCTCAAGCCGCACTATGTCATCAAGGCAAAATCATTTTTTTTTTCTCATTTCGCGCGTTTTGGTTACGGAAACCGGCGGTGGCAGCGTCAGACAACATGCAACTGCGCGTGACCCGAAAAGCTATCTCATAACAGCTTTCGCTGTAAAAGGAAAAGAAGCAGCAAGGAGGGTAAAACAAAAATATCGCTCTTGCAGCCTGGTATTGTTCGGCTCGTTATCCTAGGCTTCTACCAATAAATCTCAAACGCACACTGTGGACGTAACCATATACACAAAGTTTACTGCAAATATAGTATCTATTGAAGCTGCAACGCATGGTGCTTGAGCAAGCTTAGAAATTATGCATTTGTTTATTTTTTGTTCTTTTTGGCACCATTCAGCTTTTGGAGCCTTAATTCGCTTTGCTGCAAGATTAAGTTCAGCAAAAGTTCAGCTGTTGCTCTCCTTTATCTTGGCCTTTTGAGGCTCAATAAATCTAATTGTCTCCAGAGGTTCACAACAATCAATTCTTTTATTCTGAACAAAATCAAAACACAAAAAACAAGGCCGCACGTGCGTACGAAGCCCGCAAGCACGAAGACTAGGCAAATTTGTGCACTACCCATCATTCCCATTGTGTATGAAAGATCGCAGTGTCTTAGTTCACTCTAGCTAGATTTAACTGGTGCCTCTGCACGGCTGTTACGTCATTTGCTTTAGGTCGCCTCATATGCCTCATGGGATCCAACGTATAAGAAGTGTACTGTTGCGTCGATACTACGGAGCCATTCCCGCAGAATACACCGCATGTACGGTCTAGAAACCTCTCATATTTTTTTTTGTCCTTGATCTGAGTGACCGCAGAAGGCAATAGTCAAGATGAGTTTTCAAGCAGCTTGGCCTGGTTTAACCCTAAGAATAAACTAGTGACACACATCACGAACATTTTGTTATCGTGATGAAAAGCACAATATTCGACCGTGAACAACTAAATAAGCTTTATTAAACGACATGCGGGTGTCTTCGTGTTAAACGGGTGGGAAAGAGGACTAACCCCGGCCATATCTCACCCTCCGTCGATCATGGTGGTGACATGTAGATTGGTGACATGTAGAATGGTGACATGTAGGTGACACAGTGAATTGTCGGCCAAACATTATGGCTGATGAGTACCTCACGCAAGCGCATCTCGTTTACTCGCCATTAGGCGGCCCTTCTGTAGGTGGACTCAAAGAGATTGCCGAAGAATGAATGAATGAACGGAACGTTTATTTCAGAAAAAGAAAGATGGCTCTGGGCCGCAGCTTGGAAATATGGGAGGAAGTGATTATTAGGTGCACAGCGTGAGCGAGTTCGCATCATCTGTTGCAATAGACGTTTTAAGAGCTACGTGCCCAGAGATAGAGGTGGCCGATTCTAAAGTGGTGGACACAATGGCCGCTCTGCTACGGCCCTTGGTAGCCCAGCATTGTCAATCTGTAATGAACCGTGCTTGGAAACCAATAACTGCCGCAGTGTGGCCAGGGCATCTGAGAGACTTTGTCTGGAGGTCGGGCTGGGGCTTGGTCCCCACGCAAGATTGGTTGCAGCGATGGCAGATGGTTCGCACTTCCACTTGCCCCAACTGCGTCATGGTAAAGACCAATCGACATGCGACGTTTGAATGTGTGGTTTCCCGCCTTTTTTGGCGTGCGGTTAATGCTGGTTTTCGGGGACAGGGTGTGCGAACTTTCGTGTCCAACGGCCGATTTCCGCGTAGCCGCTCCTCCGCTCTGTTAATAGTTGCGGGGCTGTTCAGCCTTTGGAGAAACCGATGTGAGGCCGTAGCTGCCAATTGCCGCCGGCGTGCTTTGTGGCCGATACTAGGGAGAATGAGACGAGAGATCCTCGCGTTCCGAGCCGAGGAGCTTTTCTTCCTCGGGGAGCAAGAGTTTCTGCGGCATTGGTCGTGCCCTTTCGTCAATGTGGAACACGAAAGGATAAAACTCATTTTTCGACCGACTTGGTGTTAAGCAGCGCCCATTGAGTTGTTTTATATGATTTCATTTGTTACATATCGTGTTTCATTGCATCTATTGTATCGTTATACCATTGTATCATGATATCGCATTGAGTTCTTGTGTACATATATGCCAACATAGTCACATATATTAGAGCAAATGTCTTCACTGTATCGTAGTGATGTTAGTCGTGAAATACAGATGTGCCGAGGTGTATATGCCCTGTTACTGGAATGGTATGAAGCCTTTGTGTTCTGTACATGCTATAAATAAATTTTTTCTAAACAAGCAAGTGGAGGATGTGTGTGCGTCCTCGCGAGAAAGCAGAGCAAACCCAAATGAGGTGGTTTAAACATGCTCAGCATAATTCTTGACAATTTGGACACTGAGGAAAAGTGTTTCCAATCACTTGTCTAGTTCCAAACTGTTTGTGAAGCACATGTGGTGTATGTGCTGCATTGGCCAAAACCTTGTTCAGAAATATCTCTTGGTGGCGAGTAAGTGCGCAGTTGTCGTTAAACAGAGGTGTCGGTGTAGAGCCTGTGAGAGCTTTCATTCACTGCTGGTTTTTAATTTTACCCCAATATATTTCATAAATGCTCTGCTAGAGGAGCCTTACGCAACAATTGTAGATAGGGATTCAGGAGGCCCGCCTGGTTTGGTCACGAACTGTGGTGTGAGATATTAAATGGACAGCCAAGCCCACTCACTTGCGCGGTGACCACAGGAGCAGCGCTTCGTTTCCCCCGTATGTGCCAGTAAATCCTGGTGTCCAAAAAGTTTTCGCATTGATTTCACAGTTCTGTAATTTCTTTAACTTCTTTCTTGTGACGATGGCCAGCCTAGAATTCTGCAATTATTTATTAAAGTTCTCAGCGCGA